TCTGGCAGTCAACATTTTTAATATATTCACTGTATAGCTCTCTGGTCTGTCCTGACACTAGGAGCCAGAGGCAGGGAAGGAGATGGTTCTCACATGACAGCATAACCCTCTGGCCACTTTTGGAGGGAAAAAAAAGGAGAATGGATCTAAGCAGCCTCATGAGAAAAAAGCTTACCCTCTTTTACATCAATCTGAACAAGGAACTAGCAATTAGGGTCGTCATTCTAATATGAAGCAGACCACTTGAATGACTTCAGGACCTAGATTCTCTTAGACAATATTAAGTGGGTTAACAGCAACCTGTTGCCTGTTAGAGCTTAACAGTTAACAAGGTTTCACTGAACACCTTCAGGCTGTAATAGAGACCATGGGTTGCGATACAGGGCTTGCAAATGGAATTATGACTTCAATTTTGCAGAACAGGCAGAGTCAAGCAATAAGATTTAGGGCTAAGGGGAGCATAACTTACTCAGATGGGCTGTCTTGGGTACTGAGGTAAGTGAACGTACGTCACAGACTTTTCAGACAAAAGGGATGAAATGAAACAAAGCTGCATGTGCACAACACTGGCATGGTGTTCATCTGAGGTTTGATATATGTACTGTACAAAGTACACAGCATGTGGAAGGAGTGTACACAACACTGTGCATGCTACAGGATGCTTCATAGTACAGGGGGCAGGGACAAAGTGCTAACTAGCTGGTCCTGTACACTCGGTGGCAGGGCTACGTTGTTTTTAGTGGGAGAGAAGGAAGAGGGAGCATGCATGAAGCAGGGCAGGGTCTTGGAGATTCATGGTCAGGTACAGCAAAGTCTGTGGTTTAAAGCAGTGGTCTCCAAAGTGGGGTGCATGCACCCCAGGGGGTGTGCAAGACAACCTGTTGGGGTGCAGGAAGAAAATATTAGAACTTCTATTTATATAAATATACATATATTTGGGGGGTATGCTCAAAAATGTTTTACTGATAGGGTGCGTGATCAAAAAAAGTTTGGAGACCACTGGTTTAGAGAACAGTCTTAGTCAAGTCCTTATAGATACACAAGCAGGGTGTGGTCTGAAGGTGTGACAATGAGGACAGAATTAAAACCAGTGCCTGCTTTGGTGTGCACAGGACTTTCGATTTTAAAGTCACTTCTATACAGAATGCCTTTCACCGGAACCGCAGTATGATCAGACATATCCACCCACTCTCCATAATGCAGATGACTGCAGAGCTGCACATCAGCTTGGACCAGGGAATTTTTTCCCCAAGCCAAGACAAATGCCTATTTTAAAACATTATTCCTCTGCATGTGTGCATGCAGGGGGAAGAGGGCTAGTCCACAAGCCTCTACCAACACACTGAAGGAGAACACTGGATATTTTTTAAAGAAGAAGTCAGGTTTTTGCATATTACAGCAGCAGTTCTCAAAAAAAAAAAAAAAAAAAAACCACCAAACTCACCAGACTCAAAAGACTCCCTTCTATAAGCTTATGAATTAAGCAGCACCTAAATTCAAAAAACTAAGTTTATACTAGTGTATTTTAGTGGTTCTCAACCCACAGGCTACATGTGGGCCAATCAGCACACTGCTGCAACCCACACGACATTCTATTAAATGGCAACACAGGAAGTGTTATGTGGGCTGCACCCACACAACTTACATTGAGATCTGTACAGCAAATACACAAATAAGACATGGTGCTCCCCCCAGCCCCCATCAGCATGGGGAAGCACCTCATCCTACATTCATATGCAATAAAACCTCATTAAGACACACTGCCCATCATTAAACTACTCCCAGAAGCAGCATCTCAATAATGGTTCAATAATGGAAACCAACTATGAAGTTGATTGAATGAGGCCAACACTGAACACAGCTATGAAACACCTCACCCATATTGAGCAATTGCTGCTGGAAATCTACCACAAGGTTAGGTTAGCACAGCACATCTGAATAATATATGGTGCCCATTGTGCTCAGTCCCCCTCAGCAATGATTCCCTCTCAACTCATGGTGAGCCACTACATTGGAAACAGGAAAGACAGACAGCTCTAGATCTCAACACGTGCAGGAAGAGGTAATTCAGCATAGCATACTACAGTGTGCCATGTGAGGTGGCTTCTGAAGCAAAGAGTAGGCCTACATCAGATAAGAAGCAACTGCCTGCATCACAGCCAGAACATAAAAAAGATCCAGACTCAAAGATTCTGAAGTGCATCTTGAATAAGTGAGCACTGATATATTTTTTAAACAAGTTCAAGGGTAAAAAAAAAAAAAAAAATGGATTTTGCTCGTGGTTTAAAGCTCTGAAAGGAAAGGATAGCAACTGGCCATTTAGCACCTCTGGCAAACAGATGCACAGTGGAGGCTGAATGGAAGGAGGATGAGGCTGGAGAACTAGAGACTCAGAAATTAGGCTGCTTACAAAGGGAATGAGGCTTGGGCCAAACGAAAGACTTGCTGTACTGGCAACAGTACACACAGCACTGTGCATGGTACAGGTAAGGGGAGGTGGAAGACTTCAAAGGGCCAGCCAAAGTATCAGGAAACATGCAGTTTCAGACTGTAGGACCAGCAGATTTCTTCCTGCAACATTACTGCTATTCCATACAATCACATACAAGATAGCACTTCAGAGCAAATATTTCAGAGGTAATTAACTGGCACTTGCTTTATCCCAAGAAAGAAGCACATTATAAGTTAGCCACCCATCTTTTAAGCAAATTCATCTTATAACCCGCAACCAACAGATCAGCTTCCCATCCAATATTAGGTGGGCTCTGTGAGAACAGGCTTGAGAAAGATGTGTTCACAAGCTCTCCATCTTTCCAAAGTTCATCTGGAAAATCAGACTTCTGGATAAAGTGTTGCTATAATTTCCCCACTATGCTGTTTCATCACATTGTTCCTCTGTAAACAAACAAAAAGGTGGTATATGCCATTTTTATTACTTCAAAAAACCAGCTGCAATAAGCGGTCAGCCAATTTTCTACACTACTTTGTTTGCACAGAATCCAAATTCTGCTACTTTAATCATCCACTGCTATTTAAATAGCTTTATCAGTGAATTGGCTACCTTATCAGTTAAGCTGGTAACCAGGAAAACATAGGGCTCAGGCTTGCATAAAACTGTTAACTGCTAGGAAAGCCAGCTGCAAACAGATAACATGGGCTAAATATCATCAACAAGTCTCTCCCCCACATATGTTTTTTATCATGAGGCAATTCTTATATGAAAAATCCTTCACTTGACACTCTTAAGTGAGGAGTGGAGAAGGGAAGAAAAGAATGTTCTAACAGTCAAGGAACTTCGGTGGAATAGTTCGTAAGAGACAGAGAGACCAATCCACAGACCCTAGCCAAAAAACGTGAGCATGCTTGGCTAGGCCTTGGTGGCTTGTAAGCAGTCTCACTGCTCAGGTTAGGAGTAAGCCATAGGAAGTGATAGCACAAAGACAGCAAAAGTTGGATATCTAAAGTCAGCAGCCCTGACCATACTAAATAGTTACTGGGATTCCCATCCTCTTTACACAAGGTTTGAATAGGCCAAGGTAGAACACACACCTCTCCTCGGGTCTGTGTTGTCCAAGGACCCAAGCATGTTAAAAGGAACAACAGCTGAAGAATCTCGGGGGGGGGGGGGGGGGGGG